TCTACAAAAAAAAAAAAAAAATTAGCCTGGCATGGTAGTGCATGCCTGTAGTCCCAGGTACATGCTTGGGAGGCTGGGCTGAGGCAGGAGGAGCCCTTGAATCTGGGAGGTCAAGGCTGCAGTGAGTCGTGATCACAGCACTGCACGCCAGCCCAGGGTGACAAAGTGAGACCTTGTCACAAAAAAAGAAAAAAGTCAAAAATGCATTTAATGTACCTAATCTACCAACCTAGCCTGCCTTAAATGTGCTCAAAACATTTACATTAGCCTACACTTGGGCAAGTCATCTAACATAAAGCCTATTTAATTTAATTAATTAATTAATTAATTTTTGAATCAGAGTCTTGCTCTGTCACCCAGGCTGGAGTGCAATGGCACGATCTTGGCTTACCACAACCTCTACCCCCTGGATTCAAGTGATTCTCCTGCCTTAGCCTCCCACAGGCTCCTGCCACCACGCCTGGCTAATGTTTTTTGTATTTTTAGTAGAGACAGGGTTTCACCATGTTGGTCAGGCTGGTCTCAAACTCCTGACCTTAGGTAATCCACCCGCCTTGGCCTCCCAAAGTGCTGGGATTATAGGCATGAGCCACTGTGTCTGGCCTTATTTATTTATTTTTGAGATGGCATCTCACTCACTCTGTCACCCAGGCTGGAGTGCAGTGATGCAACCTCTACTCACTGCAGCCTCTGCCTCTGGGATTCAAAGGATCCTCCTGCCTTAGCCTCCTGAGTAGCTTGGATTACAGGTGTGTGCCACCACGCCCGGCTAATTTTGGTATTTTTAGTAGCATCAGGGTTTCACTATTTTGGCCCAGCTGGTCTCAAACTCCAGACCTCAAGCCATCCATCACCTCAGTGTCCCAAAGTGCTAAGATTACAGGAGTGAGCCACCAATCCTGGCTAATTTTATAATAGTGTTGAATATATCATATAACTTACCGAATACTGTACTGAAAGTGAAAAACAGAATGGTTGTATGTATGAGTATTCAAAAGTATGATTTCTACTAAATGCACCATTGTAAAATCATCAGTCGAACCAAGGTAAGTCAGTGACCATTTATAATTGTTATAAATTCTTTATTATTTTTTCCCTTTTTTTTTTTTTTTTTTGAGATAGAGTCTCCCTCTGTTGCCCAGGCTGGCGTGCAATTGTGCAGTCTCTGCTCACTGCAACCTCCGTCTCCCGGGTTCAAGTGATTCTCCTGCCTCAGCTTCCCTAGTAGCTGGGACTATAGGCATGTGCCACCACACCTGGCTAATTTTTATATTTTTAGTAGAGACAGGGTTTCACCATATTGGCTAGGCTGGTCTTGAGTTCCTGACCTCGTGATCTACTCGCCTCGGCCTCCAAAAGTGCTGAGATTACAGGCGTGAGCCACCACACCTGGCCTATTATTTTTCTTTTAAAAAATTATCTTTCTTTTCACATGTACTAAAGAAAATAGTCTACTTTGACATACATCTGAATTTATTGTCATACCTCGTTTAGCATTCTTTGTGTATGTTGGATGCAGGGGAGGGGTGATACAGTATTTTTTCTTTAATTCTTATGATGCTTTTTTCATAGCCCCTCTTGGAGTCTGTGCCTTATGAGGAAGCACTGGCAAACCGCCGCATCCTTCTCAGCTCTACTGAAAGTCGAGAAGGCCTTGCACAGCAAGTATGGCACTGGGAAAACCATGGAAATTGTTAAAGAACAGAAATGTTAAATCCCTCAAAGAAAGTTTTTAAGATATGTAGAATGATTCAAAAGTCTGCATAAACATGTGAAATGGATTGTTTAATACATACTAAAAAGCAAATAGACATAATTTGTTGAAAAACATGTTTACACTCTAAGTCATCTTGATTCAATTGGTGTTATAATTGGAACTAAAGTACTATCAGCATACTTTGGCCATGATGATTAATTCTTTTTTTTTAGGTACTAGATTTAAATGTCTGAAATACTAAAGTACAAGAGGGGGCAAGAGCTAGTGACTCTGAGTTATTTTCATTTCTTAAAGGAGCAGGAATGAAAAATTTGCAGTATTTAGTAGTCAGTTGAATTTGGGGAGTGGGTGGGAGTGGGAGGCACAGTCTTTTTCAGAAAAAAAGGAAAAAAAAATATATGTATATATTTGTCCATGGTTGCTGGCTCATAACTCCCATAGTCCTTGTTGTAGTAAATGGAATCTCTCTCTCTGATCTTCTCTTGCCCTCTTTTTACTTGCCTAAGGCAGGACTCTAATCTGACTATATGGCATTATAGGGCATAAGACCTTCATTCCAGAGGAAGTCTTGCCCCATACCTTAGAGGAAGAAATGCTGCTGCACGGAGAAGAATCTAAACTGACAGGGCTTATTGGGTTTTGTGGGGTTTTTTTTGACATGGAGCCTTGCTGTGTCTCCCAGGCTGGAGTGCAGTGTCGTGATCTCAGCTCGCTGCAACCTCCGCCCCCTGGGTTCAAGCGATTGTCCTACCTCAGCCTTCAGAGTAGCTGGGATTACACGTGCATACGACCATGCCTGGCTAATTTTTGTATTTTTAGTATAGACAGGGTTTCGCCATATTGGCCAAGCTGGTCTTGAACTCCTGACCTCAGGTGATCCCCCTGCCTTGGCCTCCCAAAGTGCTGGGAGTATAGTCGTGAGCCACTGTGCCCAGCGGGGCTTGTTGGATTTAGATCCAGTCACATTTCTTCATGGTTGTCAATTATGCCTATCCAGTGCAGTCTCCATAAAATGCCCAGGAGGGCAGGGTTTGGGAGCTTCTGAATAGCTGAACACACAGAGGCTCTTGGAGGGTGGCATGCCCAGGGAGGGCACGGAAATTCTGCACACCTTCCTCTGCTTCACTCTAAATCTCTTAATCTGTATCCTCAGTAATAGGCCAGTAAACATGTTTCCCTGACTTTTGTGAGCCACTCCAGCAAATTAATCAAACTCAAAGAGGGAGTTCTCAAGGTCCAGACTTGCGACTGCTGTCTGCAGGGGAGGCATTTTTGGGAACTGAGCTCGCAATCTGTGGGAGCTAACACTATCTCCATGTAGATAGTGGTGGAATTAAATGGGAGGACATCCAGCTGATGTCCACAATAAAACTGACTACTTGTTTGTTGGTGGGGAAATATCCCCACATATTATGGGGTCACAGAAGTCTCCTGTATTGATTGTTAAAGTGTGAGAACAGAGAAAAAATGATTTGAGAGTTTTTTGTAGCAAAGATTTACCTTAAAAATTGCTAGGACCTTAGAAGCCTTCCTCATGCCCATTTCCAGTCACTACTCTCCTCTCTCCCAAAGGTAGGAGAATAGTGACTGGATACTCTCCTGATACTGAACTTTTTTTTTTTTTTTTTTTTTAAACCTGATACTGAACTTTTTATTAAATGCAATTATGCTCTTTCTGATCTGGCTTTTTGCGTTCAGCTATGGTATTAGGTTGGTGCAAAAGTAATTGCAGTTGTTGATATTACTTTTAAATAAATGGCAAAACTACAATTACTTTTGCACCACCTATAGTTCTAATTGTTCACAAACATGCCCATTTTTGTATTCTCTATTTTTTCTATTTTAGTTAAGTGGATGGTTGAAGTTGCTGTGCTTTGATAATTAGTGACATTGCATACTTTTTAATTTGCTTATAGTCTTGTTGAAGTCTTTTGTTGGGTTTTTTTTTTCTTTTCTTTTTTTTTCTTTGCCTTTTTCTCTATTGAGTTGTCTGTCTTACTGGTTTGCAAGAATCCCTTGTATGTTCTGGTTATTGGATCTCTGTTGGATAAATGCTTTACAGATTCTAATTTGATTTTGAGTTTTCTTTTCACTCTTGATGTTTTTCAATGAGTAGGGTTTTCTTTTTTTTTTGTCTTACTATAGTTTAATTTCTCGATTTATGATTGTGCTTTTTATATCATGTCTAATAAATCTCTCCCTATTCTAGGGTCAAGCTTTATTATCATATTTTTACCTCTGTGGGGTAGTTTTTGTTTACATTCTGTAAAATAGTTTTTAGCCACTAAGTTTTATCTATATTAGTCTCTAAGATACAACACTGTTATTTTTCAAGGTTCAACAGAGTTTGGAAAAGATTTCTAAACTGGAGCAGGAAAAAGAACATTGGATGTTGGAGGCACAATTAGCCAAAATCAAGCTAGAAAAAGAAAACCAGCGAATTGCAGATAAGCTGAAGAATACAAGTAGTGGCCAGCTGGTTGGGCTGGCCCAAGAAAATGCTGCCGTGTCAAATGCTGCTGGCCAGGATGAAGCCACAGCTAAAGCTGTGTCCGAGCCCATTCAGAGCACCAGTCTAGTAAGTGTCTTCTTGGTTGCCCTCAGTTTTCTTTTTAAAATGCTGATTGGTAAGGATCTAATATTCAACATTAACCATTGTCTTAGTTCATTCAGGCTGCTATATCAAAATACCATAAACTGAGCATCTTGTAAACCACAGAAATTTATTTCTCACAGTTCTTGAGGCTGGGAAGTTTAAGATTTGGGTGCTAGGAGATTCACTGTCTGGTTAGGGTCTGTTTCCTGGTTCATAGACAGCAGCCTGTGTGAGATTGTAGGTACTGTCATAACTCCGTTTTATAGTTGAGGAAACCAAGGATCAAAGAGAAATAACTCACATGAAGTCACACACTTGATAAGTGATGTGATGTCTCATCCCATCCTTGCCCTCTTAACCAAGATAGCCTTGTGTCTTACCCATGTCAGAAAACAGATTAGCCAACATAAACTCATTTGTTAGCCGGGTGTGGTAGCCCACACCTGTTGTCCCAGCTACTCCGGAGGCTGAAGCAGGAGGATCTTTTGAGCCCAGGAGTCTAAGGCTGCAGTGAGCTATTATTGTACCACTATACTCCAGCCTGGACGACAGAGTGAGGCCTTGACTCTAAAAACAAAAAACAAAAATAAAAATCAAATAAACTCATTTGCTTACTGCTTGCCTTACTGAGGTGCTGGAATTGGTAACACTGGCATATATATATTTTTTATAAATTAATAAAAATTTTTAAACGTGGATTGCTTCATGAATTTTCATGTCATCCTTGAGCAGGGGCCATGCAAATTTCCATATCGTCCCAATTTTAGTACATGGGCTGCTGAAGCAAGCACAATGCTGGTATATTTGAGTTGTTAATGTCAATTGCTGAAAGTTTAGAATTATCTTTTTATTTGAACATTTTGAGTGGAAAGCCCTATTCTTACATATGTAAGTGAAAACAATTTCTAGGGACATGAAAAATCTTTAGTACTGAACACTATTGGGCCATGAGTGATGATGACCTTAGTTGGGTTTGGTGACTTTAGAAGTTGCTATTTAAATCAACTAGTTAGTGTAGGGGTGGAGAGGACCTGATACCTTTCCTCTCCATCATAAGGGTCACAGCCAGCACTCCTATAACAAAAGACAGGTTAACTACCAACAACAGATTTCTGCCAAAAATAACCTGGAGTCTTGCCTTGCACACAGTGCACAACAGAAATAAAAAGAGATGGAGTTTTCTGCTTTCCTTGATGTTTCTACTTTTCAGCCTTTCTTTTAACCCCTGTGTCCTTTAAGTGACCTTAAGGGAACTAAGTGTGTGACTGTGTATGTGTGTGTGTCTTTGTGCCTTTTCTGTCTTCTTCCTCTTGGGTGCTGGGAGCAAGTCTGTGCTCATTTCGGTGTTAATTGATTAACAGAGGAAGCTCATCTTACCGGGAGATTACTTTGGTTCAAACACTTTGAGGCAGAGGAAGTAACCTCAGATAGAAACTTATTTCTAACTCTGTAACATTTCAAGAGTAAAATACTTGTAATTTTTAGCAAGATCTCTAGTATTATAATTTGAATATTCAGCCATCTATTATATATTATAAAAAAAGATAGCAATAACCTTAAAGTAAAAGCACAAAACAGTAGACATTTCTGTTTTTTGCTGGAATTGAAAAGCATTGCTTAAATTAATAGAATTTTTAAACATATATTTTAAGTATAAAAATGACATCCTGAATAATCAAGCCACCAATGTTATCATTTTTTTCTACTAAATTTCATATACAGTTGAGATTGTACTACATAAAATTTCAAATCTTTTAGCATAATGTGAAAACATAAACCTCCTGTTATGAGAAACTTAGTATAAACTTACTGATTTCATAGTATTCCATATCTCTCATACCTTAGTTTACCTATGATTAGACATTGGTGACAACTTTTAAATAATGTCTCATTTTTATGTATAAGATTATTTCTGCATGTTAAATGATTACCTCAGGATGTATTCTCAGGGTTGGAATTACTACATCAGAAGGCATGAATATTTTCAAATTCCTTGATCTTTATTACCAAATTATTTTTTAAAAGGACTGTATCAGTTTATACTCTTGTTAGTATCATATGAGAAAATGTTGAAGTAATCTGTGTTAAGAGTTTTCCTTGCATTGCTGGGTGTGGCGGCTCACGCCTGTAATCCTAGCAGTTTAGGAGGCCGAGGCAGGTGGATCACGAGGTCAGGAATTCGAAAACAGCCTGGCCAACATGGTGAAACCCCATCCCTACTGAAGATTAAAAAGAAAAAAAAATTAGCTGGGCGTGGTGGTGGGCACCTGTAATTCCAGCTACTCAGGAGGCTGAGGTAAGAATTGCTTGAACCCAGGAGGCGGAGGTTGCAGTGAGCTGAGACGGTACCGTTGCACTCCAGCCCGGGAGACAGGGCAAGACTCTGTCTCAAAAAAAAAAAAAAAAAAGTTTTCCTTGCATTTAAACAATACCATTCCTTTGAAGGACTTGGTGCTGTACCACATTTTCAGATCATAACCCGGGAGTAAGGGGGTGAGGATGAGCAGGTGAAATAGATGTTTCCTTGCAGTTTATTTTTATAAACTACAGTCATATTTGAATATGTAAAATTAAATGACTGGAGTATTATTCCAAGCAATTTTTAACTAAAAGAGAGTAATTGCTACTTCTGCTTCATTGAGTAGAAAAATTATGGCTCTTCTATTTTGAAAGGTCTTATCGAAGACTCTTTTACAGCCAGGTGGGCATAACATTCATTAGTACACATTCAGTTTATATACTCTCAGTGTTGAGAACAATACTCCAGAGAATACTATTTAGAATACATTAAAACTGTCTGTTGACTGGGCATGGTGGCTCTTACCTGTAATCCCAGCACTTTGGGAGGCTGAGGTGGGCGGATCAGGAGGTCAGGAGTTCAAGACCAGCCTAGCCAACATGGTGAAACCCACCTCTGCTAAAGTTACAAAAAATTAGCTGGGCGTGGTGGCATGCGCCTGTAATCCCAGCTACTTGGGAGGCTGAGGCAGGAGAATTGCTTGAACCTGGGAAGTGGAGGTTGCAGTGAGCCTAGATCACACCATTGCACTCCAGCCTGGGCAACAGGGTGAGACTCTGTCTCAAAAGAAACGAAAAAACAAAAAAAACTGTTCATTGAGTATAATCTCTTATTTACAGAATCCATTGACACTGAGTTTCCATTAGTTTCCTTGTCATTGTACCCAAGCACATGCCCCTCCACCTTGAACAATAACCAGAATTAAGTAATCATGACCATCTGTTTTTGAAATCTTAAACTATAGAAACAAACTTTTAAAAAATCTAGCAGCACCCAAGCACGGTGACTCATGCCTGTAATCTCAGCTACTCAGGAGGCTGGAGATGGAGGATCTCTTGAGCCCAGGAATTCGATGCTACTGATTGCACCAATGTAATGCAGCCTGGGTGACAGAGGGAGACCTGTGTCTAAAAAAAATTAGAAAAAAATCTAGCAGCATTTTAATGTGTTTAAAATTACATTTTTGTTTTCATTAATTTAAATCTAAAATTTATACTTATGTCATAATAACATTATATCAAAAGTGTATTTATTTCTTCTCTCTCCTTTTGAGCTTTCAACCAGAGTGTTTATTATTTGCATTTTCTGTTTCAAATGTTTAATTATTATAGTCACTATAAAACTGTCTTTACCCCTTCTTGGCTACTGGTTTGGAAATAGGCGTAGAAATGGCAAGCTGTGGTTAAAAGCTGATCTTCTCTCTCCTGGATGATTTGTTGGGTTTCAGTGAGACTGGCTAATCAGCATTTTGATAGAAGATTTAGTGATGATCATTATTGGTTACTGCCTCATGGCATAAATAGTAAATGCAGTTAGCTATCTTCATGTCCTTGTAGTAAGAGACAGTCCGAGGATGATCTTCTAGTACTGTACCCTCAATGCTCTGTAAAACAGTATGAACGGAGAGGAGAAAATATTACAAGTGTTTGACCTATTGTGCTTGAAATGTACACATTCTGTTCTAAAAGATTTTTCCCCTTATGTTCTAGATTGGCACTTTAACGAGGACATCGAACAGTGAGGTAACGTGTGCTTGTCATCATGTTGTTTGTTAGTAAATATCTGGCAGCGTGTTTGTCGACAAAGTCCTGTAAAAGCCGTCTTTGTCCAATTGTTGTTGTTTTCTGACACTTCTAGCAAATGTGGAGCCAGTGTTTTCCACCTTCATTGATGGATCCATGTACCTTTTCTCTGGTTCTGTTTTGACAGTCACCAACAAATTATAGCCTGTTTTTATAATTGCCTTGTTGACTGACTTGCCATGGAGATTTGACAAGATGAGGCTCCTGCTTGGGTCTTCATTCGCTGGCATACTACATGAGGCTGAGAGCCGTGTTAGTCCTCGCAGTGGGCAGCCAGGAAAGCAGGGCTTAGCAAGGGCTATCCAGGGCCTTGACTAAGTACAATGTACTTGGTAGCTGTTTCCTGCCCTCAAAGCAAGTGAACCCAGGTCAGATTTGGCCTGTCGGATAGGTTTGCACTTTTGAATTTTGAAATAATCTAAGATGTAACCCTGTCTGTCTGTCTGTCTGTCTATCTGTCTATCTATCTATCTGTCTATCTATCTATCTGGAGACAGAGTCTCATTCTGTCGCCCATGCTGAAGTGCAGTGGCATGATCTCAGCTCATTGCAACCTCTGCCTCCGGGTTCAAGTGATTCTCCTGCCTGAGCCTCCCAGGTAGCTGGGACTTCAGGCGCATGTCACCACACCCAGCTAATTTTTGTACTTTTAGTAGAGACAGGATTTCGCCGTATTGGCCAGGCTGGTCTCAAACTCCTGAGTTCAGGTGATCCACCTGCCTCGGCCTCCAAAAGTGCTGGAATTATAGGTGTGAGCCACTGTGCCCAGCTGCTTTAAGATGTAACTTTATAAATAACTGTTAAATAAACACCGAAGTCATGCAACTGACCACTCAGCATGGCAAACTGGTTAATATAGTTCAAGTAAGCTTGTAGATTTTTTGATTTCTGTATTTATTCTTGTAATATAGATAATCATGAACTTCTGTGTGTGTTTTTAAACTAAACTCAACAGGGTGTCATTGTTTGAGTAACTAGTAGAAATACCAGTCTGGGACAAAGGCCACAAACTCTTCAATATAGAAATAGTTTAATTTATTAGTATGTTTACAAGTATTAGTGTTGTCTTAAGATAATTTTGGAGAAAACAAGAATGTTTGATTTTAGTGGTTCCAATACATATGCCCCTTTCCCCTGCCCTCTTCCAGTTGGAGGAGGGCATAGGAGTCAGACAGATGGACATTTTGAAAGTCAGGTTTGTGTTTCGCCGGGCGCAGTGGCTCACGCCTGTAATCCCAGCACTTTGGGAGGCCGAGGCAGGCGGACCACGAGGTCAAGCGATCGAGACCATCCTGGCCAACATGGTGAAACCCTGTCTCTACTAAAAATACAAAAATTAGCTGGGCATGGTGGCGCGTGCCCATAATCCCAGCTACTTGGGAGACTGAGGCAGGAGAATTGCTTAAACCCGAGAGGCGGAGGTTGCAGTGAGCCGAGATCATGCCATTGCACTCCAGCCTGGCGACAGAGTGAGACTCCGTCTCAAAAAAAAAAAAGAAAGTCACGTTTGTGGCTAATAAAAGCTGGATGGAGGGGCATGCTTCCAGTGGACTTCTCAATACTTTAGTTCTGTTCTCTTGAAGCCATAACTTCATTCTGAAATAGAAAGGATGCTAAATAAAATAAATTTGAAATATACACTTCCCTGCTATGTCTGAAGTTTCTTTGAGGGGTAGGAGAACAGTGATTC